CTATTTTTGTTGACCTTTGTCCATGGAAGGTCCCTGCAAAATTTCATTGAAATTGGTTCAGGGGTTTTGGAGAAGAAGTCGAAAATGTAAATTGTTTACGGACGCACGACGGACGACGGACGACGACGGACAAAAGGCGATCGCAATAGGTCACTTGAGACTTTGTCTCAGGTGACCTAAAAACAAAGTATTGAAACACATAGGAATATTGTATCACATTACACTCAAATAATACTATCAATGTATTCTAAAAGAATTCAGAAGCTTATTTTGTGCATGACTGTAATGTGGTTTTACTTTACAAATTACTACAAAGTATAAGATATATATTAATATTGATAACCATGCAAAATTTATAATCTATGATCATAAAATCGTTGATTCAGTTTGACATGTTCATCTGAAATTAAGCACAATTTTTAGAAAAATTAGAAATGTTTCCTGTGACGGGCTCCTTGTAATTTGTGACATCCCTTCATGACTGCAGGGGCATTAATTTTCTAGTTTATCCATATGCAGTATAATAATGACAATTCAATGATATATTTCATAATTGGATTGTCAGTAGTGATACTATTGGATACAGTAATATGTTGTTTCAGACCAAGATGGAGCAGAACCTTCCTCAAACTCTGTGGCGGCCAACAACTTGCTGCGTCTGTCCAGCATCCTACAGAGAGCTGACTACAAAGGTATGGCCATGAGAATCTTCAGAGTGTTCCATCAACGGCTCACCAACATCCCTATCGCTGTCCCTGAAATGACCTCTGGTCTGTTTTGGATGACTGGTACCACTAAACAGGTCAGTACTGTACTACAAACCTAATCTATAGACAAACATAATTTAAGGCTCGTAATATTACCTTATTGTTAAATGACATGCATTGCTTAAAATAGAATTTGGTTAAAAATTGTACTTTTATGAATATCTTGTGAGGAATAGTATACAGTTGTACAATCTAAGCTGAGGATGGTTTTATGTTAACAGATAGTGTTAGTTGGCGATCCGTCCTCTCCAGACATGGCAGACCTTGTCCGATGTGTGAACTCCCACTTCCTCCCTAACAAGGTGATCCTGCTGGTGCCTACTGGAGGAGACAGTTTCCTATCCAAACGCTGTGAATTTGTTCATGGTTTGCCTCAGGTCCAAGGCAAAGCTACAGCTTATGTGTGTGAAAATTACACCTGCTCCTTGCCAGTCATAACTGCAGACTCGCTACACACCATTCTTGACACCAAGTCAGCACTGTAACTGCAGACTCGCTATACACCATTCTCGTCACCAAGTCTATGCTGTAACTGCAGACTCGCTACACACCATGCTTGACACCAAGTCAGCACCGTAACTGCAGACTCGCTACACACCATTCTTGACACCAAGTCAGCGCTGTAACTGCAGACTCGCTATACACCATGCTCGTCACCAAGTCAACACTGTAACTGCTGACTCGTCACCAAGTCCACACTGTAACTGCGGACTCGTCATCAAGTCAACACTGTAACTGCTGACTCGTCACCAAGTCAACACTGTAACTGCTGACTCGTCACCAAGTCAGCGCTGTAACTGCAGACTCGCTACACACCATTCTCGACACTAACTCATGTTAGTATCTAAAAAGTGGTACACGTCTACTACTGATGAAATACTGTGAGGACAGTATCACATTATCAGTAACGCCTTGGGCATTTCTGATTGTGCTTTTATGTGGATTATTTACTAATCATGGAAAGTGCTCATCACAAATCTACAAATGCTGCGATACAATGCTTTATTTCCGTAGAAAGAAGTGATTTTAATTGTATTTTTTTTTCTATAATACAACATTTAAATTTTTAAAACATTGTTAAATTCAATGCTTTAAATAATGATGGTTATCCCGGAAAGTGGAAATAAAGTGCTTAATGTTAAAATAAAATTTCATGTGCATTTACATGTAGTATTGGTGAAATAAGTGACCTAAAAATGGTAGTATAAATCAGTATTTGTATATTTTTTAACTGAGTGGATTTTCAATGCGTCATCTTCTATATCTAATGTGACTAAAATGACATAGATTGTACTTGGTAATACATCTATGTTGGTGTGGAAGATAACGTTGCTGTCAAAGTTGTCTGCCTCTAATTAGTCTCTCATTGGCTTTGTGGCCCAGTTGTCTGCTCCTAATCAGTCTCTCATTGTGGCCCAATGGACCTGTATCTCTTACATGTGAATCAATGATGATGGCACACAACTTACACATCATCGACTTTTGAAATGTGTCTACTTCCAAGAGGGGTTGGTGTGGGCGGTCAACCAGGTGTTAGACAGTCTTTAAAAGGTGAGGTTGACCTTGGAACTTTTACCTTAATGAAAGTAGAAAACGATTTGAATGGACAAATACATGAATTGTAGAGTGAAATTGTGTTGAAAGACAGCCCCTGCCCCAAGAAGGTAATGCTAAGGGTATTGATACCAAGGCCCCAACCCTGGTAATACCCGATTTCCAAGCTGGGGAATAAACATTTCAAACCAAGAGATCCCAGAAGGATCTTGGGCCCACCATTGTACCATCTTCATTAGTTCAGTGTCAGTTCAATCTTTTCTCTTCTTATCCTGTTTGATCAAGACATGGAAACAGTAAATGCACCTTGAGGTAACTCATACCGCTGTGTATAAAAGACAACCTTCAAAGTGAGTTTGTCTTTTCACATATTTACTAGTACAGTACTTACTGTTAGAGATAGCACCAATCAGTGCAATATGAGAAAGATCTGTTCAGTTCTTCCTTCTGCCATCTTGTTTTTATGATCACTCTTTAAATAACACATGCACAACTAAGGACCAAGAAGAACCTACATATCAAATTCGAGAAAGATCCCTCAAGTCGTTTCTGAGAATTAACAACTTTATCTTTCAAAATCCTTGATGGCCATCTGTTGGCCATTTTGTTTATCCAATCAGTCTTAAAGGTAAACATGAACAACTACAGACCAAGGGGAACCTAAATATCAAATTTGAGAAAGATTCTTCCAGTCATTTCTGAGTAATAGCGCTTTAAAACTTGAACTGTAAAATTCAAGATGGTGCCTATCGGCCATCTTGATTTTAAGATCAGTCCAAATATAAGTTATGTATAACTGAGGACCATGGGGAACCTTCGTGTCAAATATGACAAAGATCCCTCCAGTCCTTTCTGTGAAATAGCACTAACAAATTTTAACTCTTTAAAATTCAAGATAGCTGGCTGTCGGCCATCTTGGTTTTGTGATCAGTCCCAAAAAACGATATGCATAACTAGGGATCATGTGAAATTACAGAAAGATCCCTCCAGTACTTTCTGATTAATAGCGTTAACAAGAATTGTTTAAAGGACGGACGCACGACAGACCATGGACGTAGGGTGATTTGATGATGGTGGGCTAAAAAGATAGATTTCTTGTATCCATCTTTTTTCTTGCAATCAAACCCACAATGAAATATACCACACTAGTGAACTGAAAAAACATACTTACATGTAATTTGAGAAAATCTGTACTTCTGAAAATCTGTGGTAACAAACTTCAGTGGTCAAATTTCAGATGTTGATCTGGTGACCATCTTTTTTTGATAAAGTTAAAATTGAAACATGCACAACCGAGAGAAACCTTCATTAAAATTCCCTCCTGTAGTACCAAAGTACAAGGTGGTTGTGTGACAGTCATCCTATTCATGCATCATGAAAGACCAAGAGAAACAAACCTGGGCCTGTGAACACTGAGAATTTTGTATAGTTTGTAAAGTCTGATAAAGATATCTCCAGTTATTCTTTGAAAAACGTGATAATGAAATTTAACAACCAAAATCAAGATGGCCCCTATATATAGCCTATCAGTCATTTTAATTTTCAGATCAGTCTCAATAAAAGCAAAGTGAATAGAGGCTTACAAAGATAAACCCCCATCCCCCACAAGTGGTCAAGTGTGATATTTCCCTGTGATCTTTGACCCTTTAACCTTGACCAATGACCACCAAAACCTAAATAAGGTGTAGAACTCAATACCATATTATGGTATAAATATGAATTAAGGTAACAGGATTGTGTCACCATTTCTCAGTAGAATTTCTTCAAATTTTGTAGTTATATTGCTTTAAAGTAAAGAAAATTTTCTGCCACAAAAAAATTAAGGTTGTCAGAATTTTAAGGATTTTACACAAAATAATGTCAATAAAAATGATACTGACATATATTAGTATTGCATTAATGTATATCCATTTAAAAAATGTTGAAATTGTGTAAAATTAATTCTCTATACACGATATAAAAATTGACATTTTATAATAAAACCATATACACATAGTAATTGCAGGTAAGAGTTATCATTCTTGAAAAACTTCACAGTAGTGAAACAGGTAGCCGGTTTCCTGAAGTACAGAAAAATGGACACATGTGACTCATTGATAAAAAAAACACCCTGAATTAATGCCTGGATTGCTTTGAAATACTTTAATATTGAGAGAACACACTGTTCTGTCAATAATAAACATACAATATTCATCAATTTAATATTAAACATTAGAATTTGTGGAAATTGTGATGCTGTCTCCCTATATTGGTTATTCAACTAGGGATGTACTTCCTGTTTCCGTTTAACAATACACTCATATGACCTTAAATGTGTTCAGGGGTTCTTGAGATATGAAACAATTAAACAACTAAGAACCAAGGGGAACCTTCAAATGAAATTTGAAAAAAAATCTGTCTAGTACTTCTAAAGATGTAGAGATAATCTGTAACTGTCAATGTCAAAGATGGCCATTTGGTGGCGGTGGCCTTCTTGATTGTTTTTTCAGTGTCTAACTGAAACATGCACAACCTTGGACATATAAAATCTGACAAAGACGTCCTGAGAAATAGCAATAACAAGAATTGTTTAAGGATGGACAGACCACTGATGATGGCGCACTGAAAAAAGGCTCCAATCAGTACATCTAAAATTCAAAAATACAATGAAAAAACAGTTAACAGAAAATAGCTGAAGCATTTTATTATCAACAAGTATTTTATTATCAACAAGTTTATCAAGATATGTAGTTTGACAGATCTAATAACCAAAATCAAACCAGGAATGGTGTTTTTATGCAAATCACAGAAGTAAAACAACATTATGTGGTACACTTCAAGTCTGTAACATAAAAAAACGTACTGCCTTGTAGCGCTGCAATGTAAACAAGCACTGCTTAATATGGTAACAATCAATTGTATTTAAGCCATGCATACGCCCAGTTCATGTTAAAATAGGTCAGTGAAGAGCCAGTTTGCTGTCAATACAAGTTGCAACTTCAAACCTTTGACTTAAGGTTCTAAACCAATTTTGAGATATATTGTTCCCTGTATACAGGTTCATGTAGCACAACCAGTGGAGTGTTCATGTGTGATGTTTGACGCCTGGAGCACAGCCAGTGTAGTGTTCATGTGTGATGGTTGACGCCTGGAGCACAATCCGTGGAGTGTTCATGTGTGATGGTTGACGCCTGGAGCACAACCAGTGTAGTGTTCATGTGTGATGTTCGACGCCTGGAGCACAACCAGTGAAGTGTTCATGTGTGATGTTTGACGACTGGAGCACAACCAGTGGAGTGTTCAAGTGTGATGTTTGACGCCTGGAGCACAATCAGTGGAGTGTTCATGTGTGATGTTTGACGACTGGAGCACAACCAGTGGAGTGTTCAAGTGTGATGTTTGATGCCTGGTGTAAACAAAATTGCAAGTTGGCAATAAAGTTGCTGTCTATTTGGCTACATAAATATCTGATCATTTGTTATTTAAAATTTAAAATCATTTTGTTAATTGAAGTTGTGAAAGTTTGAAGATGTAACTCTGGTGAGTTGTCAGAGCACTAGTCTACTTTGTAGTATTTGTCCCAGTTCTAAACCAAATTACCGAGTCTTTACAGTCAACCACCATAACATGTATATCTATCAAAACTGCAGAGACAAAAATCCACTATTTATGTCTATAGAAATATTCCAAAAAATATGGAAGTTGAATTTTCTTTAGCACCATGTGGTTGGAATATTGGGGAGAATTTTTATCACTTCTAACTATTTTTAAATATAATGAAAAAGTTTAGTAAAATGAGGTAACAAAAGTGTAAACTAGTCTTTCCCACTGGGTTTCCCAGTGTTTGAATATCCCACCAGATAATGCTAGCCGGGAAACCCAGGGGAAAGACTAGTTATCCTGGCCAGGAAACCCAGTGGGAAAAACTAGGTAATCCTAGCCAGGAAACCCAGGGGAAAGACTAGTTATCCTAGCCAGGAAACCCAGTGGGAAAAACTAGTTATCCTAGCCAGGAAACCCAGTGGGAAAGACTAGTTATCCTGGCCAGGAAACCCAGTGGGAAAGACTAGTTATCCTAGCCAGGAAACCCAGTGGGAAAGACTAGTTATCCTAGCCAGGAAACCCAGTGGGAAAGACTAGTTATCCTAGCCAGGAAACCCAGTGGGAAAGACTAGTTATCCTAGCCAGGAAACCCAGTGGGAAAGACTAGTTATCCTAGCCAGGAAACCCAGTGGGAAAGACTAGTTATCCTAGCCAGGAAACCCAGTGGGAAAGACTAGTTATCCTAGCCAGGAAACCCAGTGGGAAAGACTAGTTATCCTAGCCAGGAAACCCAGTGGGAAAGACTAGTTATCCTAGCCAGGAAACCCAGTGGGAAAGACTAGTTATCCTAGCCAGGAAACCCAGTGGGAAAGACTAGTTATCCTAGCCAGGAAACCCAGTGGGAAAGACTAGTTATCCTAGCCAGGAAACCCAGTGGGAAAGACTAGTTATCCTAGCCAGGAAACCCAGTGGGAAAGACTAGTTATCCTAGCCAGGAAACCCAGTGGGAAAGACTAGTTATCCTAGCCAGGAAACCCAGTGGGAAAGACTAGTTATCCTAGCCAGGAAACCCAGTGGGAAAGACTAGTTATCCTAGCCAGGAAACCCAGTGGGAAAGACTAGTTATCCTAGCCAGGAAACCCAGTGGGAAAGACTAGTTATCCTAGCCAGGAAACCCAGTGGGAAAGACTAGTTATCCTAGCCAGGAAACCCAGTGGGAAAGACTAGTTATCCTAGCCAGGAAACCCAGTGGGAAAGACTAGTTATCCTAGCCAGGAAACCCAGTGGGAAAGACTAGTTATCCTAGCCAGGAAACCCAGTGGGAAAGACTAGTTATCCTAGCCAGGAAACCCAGTGGGAAAGACTAGTTATCCTAGCCAGGAAACCCAGTGGGAAAGACTAGTTATCCTAGCCAGGAAACCCAGTGGGAAAGACTAGATAATCCTCGTTGCAGCTAAGGCAATGAAAGACACTAGCTTGTGTATACCGTACACCAATCAGCGGTAGCCTCAGGTAGGGTATGATACTTTCTGTGGATTTTACACCTACAACCATGGCATACAGACCCTCGCATATCAATAATCATACATACGGCATCAGATCTCAATAACAAGCTTTACTGATTTTAATGTTGAACTAAGGTTTGATATTAAATTTCATATCATTTTTGGGCAGAAAGTTGTTCCATTTTAAAACTATTCAATGGAGTCCTCCATGTGAACTGTATTTTTACAAAAAAACAAATTAAAACTAATTAAAGTAAAAGAGTAAACTATATTACCCGGTAAGTAAAACAACCTTCATCATCATATATAGTAGAGCTATCAAGTAGAGGCCCATTAAATTGTCGACACATGCATAATTATATACTGAAGTGTTTCACATACTGTTAATCACAGTCACACAAATGTAATACCTTGTATGAGAAAACTGAAAGACTACGTTCCTGGCAATATCTAGTACTTGAAACACGACATAGTAAATTTGACGAATGCCATATTACTGCTTGAGCTGCTCGCACTTATCACATTACCAACTACTTGACCAGTGGGACCAGTGTTGGACCTGTTGCTTGACCAGTGGGACCAGTGTTGGACCTGTTGCTTGACCAGTGGCACCAGTGTTGGACCTGTTGGTCTGTTGCTTGACCAGTGGGACCAGAGTTGGATCTGTTGGTCTGTTGCTTGACCAGTGGGACCAGAGTTGGATCTGTTGGTCTGTTGCTTGACCAGTGGGAGCAGTGTTGGACCTGTTGGTCTGTTGCTTGACCAATGGGACCAGTGTTGGACCAGTGTTGGTCTGTTGCTTGACCAGTGGGACCAGAGTTGGATCTGTTGGTCTGTTGCTTGACCAGTGGGACCAGTGTTGTACCTGTTGTTCTGTTGCTTGACCAGTGGGATAAGTGTTTGACCTGTTGGTCTGTTGCTTGACCAGTGGGACGAGTGTTGGACCTGTTGTTGTTGCTTGACCAGTGGGACCAGTGTTGGACCTGTTGGTCTGTTGCTTGGCCAGTGGGACCAGTGTTGGATCTGTTGCTTGACCAGTGGGTCCAGTGTTGGACCTGTTGGTCTGTTGCTTGACCAGTGGGACCAGTGTTGGACCTGTTGGTCTGTATACAAGAATATGTAGCACAACCAGTCAAGTGTTTACATGACCCTTTGATGGCTATTATAAAGTACTGTCACCTTTCTCAGAAAATTGGCCAATAGATTATGTACATTAAGGTGTAACTAGAACTGTCACTAGAATGACTTAACCCCTGTTTGCATCAAGAAATGTAGGAATAGTTATTTGTATATATAGCTAGGTCATTTAAAAATAAACAAATGGACACAACTCCATGAATAGGGAAGTAAACTCTAAATCCATATAGTTACATCCTCTCCATGTAAGTGTTAATGTTCCAAATATCATTAAATTTGATGCAGTACTTTGGGAGGAGTTTTCTTAAAAAAAGGGGCATAACTCATAATAACACAAATGATATACTTTAATGACCCCCCCTCAATATTGGGGTTCTATGTACCAAATGATATTCAAATTGGTGCTGTACTTTAGCAGTTGGAGAAATGTTTTTAAACTAATAGGCATAACTCCCTTAACAATAGCAAGTTCAAAACAAAATGCAGGTGCAAAACTTCAGTGTGTTGACTGCATCAGTAAAGTTTCATAGAATTGGCTGAAAATAGGAGTTGTACTGATGTGATTGTATCGACAATTTGTCCATTTTGTTGTAGGAGGTATAACAAGTAAGTGTAA